AGGACAAGCTAATGGTTGGGACTTTTGACAGTGATGAGGAGCTGTATGAATTCTATGATGAATAAAACTTGAGTTCAATAACTTTATGTAATACATTTTTTTTCAAATTCCGGGCCCCAAAATTAAGGTGCGTCTTATACATGGGGAAATACGGTAACTCGTGACCTTGGACAGTAGATCTTTGAGTCAAGTTGATTTGGTTAAGGTACTATAGGCAGATACAAGCTTCACAAGAACAAGAAACTTGTTAATATCATTCCCTGATATATCTACTGCTTTGCGCACAGTCCCTAGCATGCATTCATGGCTTGACAAATGTCCCTGACAAAATTCCAAAATCTATTCTAACTTTGTGGACACATAGAAAAAGGAAGTATGATCACTAGGAGGCACCATCAATTCATGAAGACCAACTATGCCCACTGCTCAGTTTCCACGCTATAGAAAAGAGGGAGATCACATCTAAGCACTTGACTAAATTTCACATACATAATCCCAGTAAACAAGATGCAGAAAAACAACTAAATATTTTGCAATTAAATGAATTTGTAGCTAGTTGAACGAGAACACTGCTGTTTAATGCATCACTATCAGTCTGGATGGAGATAGTGCTCTCTGCTATGTCAACATTTTTTTTTTCAGGCTTACATGCAAAGTAATTTTTATCAAATGTGCCCACTACTTAAAAACTGAGACTAACAACCCAAGTTTTTTTTAAAGAGCCCTAAATTAGTACAATAAAATTTGTAAAAGTAAATTAATAAATTCAGGTATATATGCAAATTCCAGTTTCAATGTGAAAGACTTTCGAGTTTTCATTTTCCAGCTCCATGAGTCAAGCATGATTGCCATAAAACAAATTTAGTGTTGCTGTATATTTGTTGAAATTGTCAACTTATTGTACATACCATCCACTTACCCTGAAATCCTCATAATTTATATACTCTAGTCTCTTGTAGAGAGATAGAACAGCCAGTGGGACTCTGAAAAACTAAGGTGACAAGACCCACGTTTGTAACTTTTTTATATTGGCCTTTGAATACCTAGAATAATAGCTGCTTACTGTTATATCCTCCAAATCAAATCATACCACATTTTAAATGCAGTCTAATCTCATTTGTCACAACCCCGTTAAGACAGGTATTATTATCCCTGTATTCAAGGTAAGGATTCTGAGACGCAATTAGGGACTCATCCAGGCATATGACAAATGATACCTTTTAATAATTCCACCACTTTCCTTACGTAGCTATTTATCAAGTACTCCTTTTTACCCCATTCCAGAACTATTGAACCACAACAGTGACAGAAGGACCCAAGAATATTTAAAGCAGCTCAGCTAATTATAATAAAAATGGCCCACAACGAAGCTTTGGGAACTACCTTAGATCATCTATTTCTTCTAGTTAGACGTCTGATAGATGCTTGGGAGCAGTTTTTGAGATTATACTTTCTGCTGACAGGCAGTATTATATAAGTAGAAAGTTCTGATAGAAGTAAAGCGCTGTTACTCCCAAATGTGACCTCTTGTAAGGTTCCTAACCCTGTTGAGCCTCCGTTTTCCCATACATAATAAGTCGTCACCGTTCTAAGCATGCAGAGCACTTGATATGCACTCAATAAACACCATCTACTAATTTTGAAGGTGAAGCCCCAGAACACACTATATCATCAGAATATAGTATATTAATAAAATTTTTATCATACTTCTCTCTCACACGAGGTTAAGATTTCAAATTTTAGAAAGGTTAAACAGGATGTTTAAGTAAAGCAATTATTATTAATAACAAAAGTTTGTCTTTAATATCTCTTATTCTTCTGGCATCAAGATTTGTAATATTTAAGCAAAAACTGTCAGCATGAAAGGCCATTTAACTCATCAAAGTGCTTTAACCTAAAAGCAATGTTTTCAACTATTATTTTAGATCAGGGTTTCAGCAAACTTTTGAGATGGAAGTTTAGATAGTGTCTTGTCATTTAAAATAAAAGCAAATTAAGTCCTTTTTGCAGTTAATTGCCCTATATGAAAAACTTGAGTGAAAAACATCTTGAAAATACAATTTATTTTGATTCATTAAGTTGGGCTTAGATAAGTACCTGAGTCACAAAGCACAGAATTATAGGTTAAAACTGATTTGAGTCTCTTTATAAGAAACAGATTCCGAAATAGAAGTATCATTAAAGAATATAAAAAACCTTGAGAATGCATATTAATCATGTTACCACTCATACTTGTGGTCCCCTTACAGTCCTCTTGCAAGAAATCCAACTTGGTCATGAGCGTAAAAACTTACCATGTGCACCCAGGGATAAAGAACTGCCTATACCATTTGGTGTATTTTCACTCATTTTTCCTACCAACCATTAATAAAGACAACCAATTATATTGGGAATGATTTTCCTGACATCAATCAGGAAAATATATCTTTGTAAGGCACTTTAGATTTCAAAAGGATACATCGTATTAGAAATGCAGTACTGTGAGGGAGAGGAACTGTTTTGTTTACTGGTTTATATAATTTGTGTTGATACGTCAAGTATGTTGGAAAACATCTGGCTCTGGACTTCATTTGTAATGTAGGGATACATTTCATTGAGGAATTGAGAGGTCTTTATTCCTTAGTTGATTTTTGGAATTAGTTTAATTTAAAATACATTTATTAAAATAATAGTCCCTAGTTAAACTTGCCTGTTTGCTTGACCCACTTTGCATTATTTTCATTTTACTACTAAACTGATTACAAAACCATATACTACAAAAGCCAAATGTTTCCGAATAGCCAATACTAGCGAATCTTCCTCTAATACTCCCAGGGACAGTCCTGAACATCAGAACATCAACCAAGCTATTCTGGGTGATAGTGGTAGATGACCTTTGGAGAAAAGTATCTCAACAGGTCTCTCCCCTTAACAAGTCTCGCTTCTGTGAGAAAAGTTAATTTTCTTCCGGAAAATGTTTGTGAACCAAAATCTACCATGTCTAATTAGTAAACATCTTAAAAATTAAAATTTACAAATGAAATCCACCTGTAAGTTCTGAAAGAATCCATTCTAGAAGCCTCCTCAGAATTTATACAATAGCTACCATCTATTCTTGAGTTTGTATTGTTTAAGCCAGGGGTCAGCAAACTGTGGCCTGCAGGCCAAGTCCAGCCTGCCACCTGTTCTTGTAAATGTTTTATTGGAACACAGCCATGACCTTTCATTTATGTATAATCCATGGCTGTCTTCATGCTACAAGAGTTGAGTAGTTGTGGCAGACACCACCACATGGTCCTAAGAGGTTAAAATATTTACTACCTGCATCTTTATCCAAAAAACTTGCCAACACCTATTTTCAACACTTACTAAAAAGAAAGAAACAACTATTTCAATTTTGTTTGAATGACAAGACTGTTAAGTATTTTTTCATTTTCTTCTCATCACAAAGATACACACTTTGGCCTACACACTGAATTGATGAGAATTTTTATGGACTAGCCCAGATATATACACAATATTTATTCTAATAATGTTTGTATGGATTCTTTAAAAAGTGTCATCAACCAATGGTACAAAGGAGTTTTAGAAAACAGCCTACATGTAGATAAGGGACATTATCTATTTAATTCACCCAAATAATCAACCAAATAGGCCTGAAATGCTCTGAGAAACCATGTTTACTTCTTTTGAAATCAGGCTTATGTAATCAGTGTCACAGAAAGTTGTTGACAATAGCAAGCTCTATCTCAATACAAACTTAAGGTTTAATCACATTTACAAACAACAAAAAACTTTAATACTAGTAATTCCACAATTCTTAAAATTGAGAGCTAAGATAGGCTTTTAAGATTATATGGAATCAATTTTTTAAAATAATATGCAACTTTTTTAGCCTTTTTCCTTTTCTCAACCAACCCCATTTTTACCCACACTTCTAAGATGCAGGGAGCAACCCACAGGGCAGTGTGGTAAATGCGGATGGTTCAGAGAACTGGAGAAGACAAGACTTACCTTCCTGTGACACTCTTAAATCAAGAAAGAAACACTTCTACCCTGCACTATTTATGGTATTTGTATGCTTGATTTATATAGCACACACATTTCTTTTTGACTAGTTTTCCATCAATATTCCAAAAATGTCAGAAATTGTTTTCTAAAACTTCTAAAAATCGTAAGATTTTTACACTATTTAATAGAAAAATAAAACCAAGCTACCAAACCTATAGGCAAAAAAATGTTTATTCAAGAAAATGTAAAAATATTTTAATTTACATATTACAATGAATATGGAGTCAAAATTGCACAATTACACGTTCATAAAAATTCCACACATCATCCTCAGAATAATCAGTTTCTGTACAAAGATTTACAGATGTTCAATGTATGTAATTCTTCCTCAGTGTGCTACTGAGTTTAGAGGTTCTGCTCGAATGTTCCCCAAATCAAGTGCAGAATCTGTTTCTTCATCAATTTCCCCAATGACTGCACTGCAATTATTTGAGAAGAAAAACAATGAGTTAAAACAATCTAATTTCTGACAAAACTGAGAGGACCAGGTAAAAAGAACTACTTTAAGATGAAAAACAAACTCTTCATCAAGTAGTGAATTACATATTTAGGTCACAAAACTCAAGATAAAATAATTTGAAGGCAACATTATTACAGGAACCAATATTATAGAACAGATTTCATAGAGTGTAAAGGGAAAAGACACAAATGGGATAGATACGGTACAAAACCCCCAAACCTTCCAATCCTATGATTTCAACTCTAGGGACTGAATTAGAGGAGGTGTGAGAGTGGAGGGAAATCACAAAATCACTACTAAATAAGCAAATGAAAGTCTGTTATTTAACTAACTTCAATGAACTAAATCCATCAATGGCATATAATTTCTATTTCCTTTTCGTGATTTCTCAGTTTACTCAATTTAAATTCAAGACCAAAAGTGGTTTTTTATATACAAAGACAGTAACAGCAACTGGTACTTAAGTATCTAACAAATGATTTTTTAATGTGATTGGCTAGAGTTAAAGCCAGTAAATTGTTCCTTGATTCAAAACAAACGTAACATTAATTTCATTCATACCATGCTAAGTGACCAAGGCCATGTCTCCTTAGCTGGATATAGCACTATTACATCCAGACTACAGGACACGTATAAAACAGTATTCCACAAAAAACTGGTTGTTTAAATTTGTCTCGTTTTAACCAGAGTAAATTCTATAAATGAATCCTTTTAATATCGAATTTGCCCTATTTTGCTTTAACCCATATAAAGCCTTCAGTTCTCTAATTACGGAAAGTATCAAACTCTGGGAGAACATACTAAGTTTTTTCTCAATATAAAACAAATTGAAGATTTTAACTGCACTCTTAAAATTTAGTATCATTTGAAATCCTTAGGGAAGTAAGTAGGACCGCTGGTAAATGTTTTTTGGGTTTTTTTTTAAAGCTTGTAAGAGTTTATTTGATCCAAACTGACAATTGCCAGGAAGCAAAATCTCAACGGATTGAAAACATGCTCCGGTAAAAGTTTTAAAATAACCTCTCCAAAGAAAAATGGGAAGGCTAGTTTGCAGTGTTTACTGACATCCATTGTGCAAATAATCCCACTATGGCCAATTTCAAGCTATAAAGAAGACATCAACCAACCAGGTTGCAAAATTCCTGAATACAGAGCAATCAGCTTTCATAAGTTGGCTTCAGCAAACCACTGAGTCTATAGCAATGATAAATTTTTTTAAAATCGAAGTTCAAAAATACATGTTGCTTGTTTGTTTAAAATAGGAGAAATCTTCTTAAAATCAGTTATTATGCAGAGTCCCAATATAAAGAACCACTGTTGTTTTGGTCAGGGGACCTGGGCCCCACCTGCACTGCCTTTCACTCGTTTTTGACCGCTCACTTTATAACTTCACACCTAAAAGTCATCTCTAAAGAATATTTTAGAAAACCCTGATTTTGATTAAAGATGAAATAATTTATCCATCTAAAGATGATTTAAGATAAACAATTCAAATGAATAGTATTCTTATAGATGTGTTCTATATCCTATAGCCTACCTGTGCCCCAATATATGAGATGCTAATATATCTTTTGCTGCCTTCCAGCCATGTTTCAATTCTATACAGTATGTACTAGAAAACGGATTCAACAATCTTCTAGCCGATTTAACTGCACTAATACAATAGCTGCTAGCCACATGACTTAAAATTACGATTAATAAAATTTAAAATTCAGTTCTTCAGTCACACCAGCCACTTTCCAAGTACTCAGTGGCTATACACGGCTCATACCTACCAGAGCAGATCATACAGATAATAGCGTGTTTCCACCACCCCAAAAAGCTCTATTAAAAAGTTTTGCTCTACACTGTTGTAGACATTTCTTAAATTGCTACCACTAATATCTATTTCTCAAACTGCCGTATCAGTGTGTGATAAGTTAACTGAGGCCACAGCATAAACATGGAACATATTAAGGGTGCCAATTATACTAAAGCATTAAAAGACAAAAGTAATGCATCAGTACTTGTTTATAAATTCAGATATATTATGGAGCATGAATCATTTAAAATAGTTCACACACAAGAGATTTCAAAGAAATTTTCAAACCCCAGAGTATATTTACAGTCCTCTGACATTAGGGGTATTTTGGAAGAACATTTTAAGAAGCTTCTCTAATGAAGTATTTGGTGTAAGGCACAGACCTTTCTGGACCCTGCTCAGGCCACTGATCTATTAGAAAGATGGGTGAATTTCAGTAGATAAAAACCTCTGCTCCATACAGCAAGGCAGTACACCTACAATACTTAAAAAAGACGTAGTTTACTTACACATTGTCACCTCTTACGATGTATAACCCTAGTACCACTTGTTCTACTCCCTGTGAAGAGCTGAACACGCGTTCATGGCTTTCATCCAAAATCAAATTAATGGTCTGGTCAAAACCTTTCAGTGTTCCCTGCAGCAAAAAAAAAAAAAAAAAAAAAAAAAAAAAAAATCAAGAGAAAAAGACAAATATTCAGGTTTACCTGAAGGTGTAAATTCAACCACACAACGATTTTAGTTGCTGGGTCCTCCGACAAAAGTACCTATTTTAAAATACATATAAGTCCACTGTAAAATACAGTACCTCTTTAGAACCAACAGTATTCATGGGCACAAAACTTTTCTTTTGGTTTTTTAAGGGGTAAAAAATTAAGACCACACATCTGACTAGTGCAGGGTTGTTGAGAGTTACAAAGGACACCTCGGTACCAGTGTATTTCCAAGAAAATAGCAGAAAAACCCACGTAGTCCAGTCTAGGAGCTAACATTCTAAAGACACAAGCTGAAACAAGTGAATTTCAGGAAACCACACACACACGGAACCTACATACCAGCTACGGCATCGTACAGTGTCACTTCATGCTACACCCTAGGACTCAGCCCTCTGCTAAACACACCGCACACATATCTCAGCTAACCTCTGCCCTCTGAGGGAGCTGTCATCATTCCCACTTCAGAGAAGAAAAATGAGGCGCAGAGAGGTTATGTCAGCTCCTAAGAGTTCCTAGGTACAAAATAGCAGAGCTAGGGTCTGACCTACGAAGGACAGCTTCAAAGCCAGACCACTCAACTATCATGATATACTAACTACTATGAACAAGCAAATATAATTACCCTTTTTCAGAGATGAAATCAGTCCCATATATACTGGGGGTGCCAAAAGAAGGTATGCACGTGACTTGTATTCATCTTTTATCAGTATATGTTGAGTATTACAATTTTAATACAGTTTTTTCCTTTCTTAAAATGTGTATACATTTTTGGGGCACCCTCTGTATAATACAAACTTCAACTGGTATTAAGAGCTAACACTTAATGAGTATTTTCTGTTTTCCAGGGAGGGCTTAGCTGGTGAAAGCATGTGCTCCTAAGAACAAGGTTGCCGGTTGGACTCCCACATGGGATGGAAGGCTATGCTCACCCACAACTAAGATTGAACACGGCACCTTGAGCTGAGTGGCCGCGAGCTGCCAATGGGCGGCCGGATGGCGACTGGACTTGGGGCTGAGCTAGCTGCGTCCTCCACAACTAAGACTGAAGGACAACAAAACAACTTGGCTGTTCCCCTTCCCCAACTCCCCAACAGTGTTCCCCTTCCCCAACTCCCTAACACCTTTCCCTTCCCTAATTCACCAATAAAATCCAACAACAACAAAAACTGCAGTGCAGGTATACTGTGGTGCCTAGGCATCAAAGATTAGAGGTTCTACATAAAAATTTACAACCAATAAACCTCCAAGAAAGCAGGGAAGAATACGCAAATTACTTACCACAATCATTCTCCCGTCAGAAGTAATAACAGCAACAGTTCCCAATAACTGAATCAAGGAAAGCATTTCTCAGGGAACGCAAACTGAAAACTTAGAACAGCGCAAGGAGTAGTTTGAATTACTAGGGAAAAGGTGACAGAAGGAAGATACAACTATTCAACACAGCCAGTACATTCACAACATAAAAACGTGGTTTCTAACTTCTTCAATTCCTTGTCATAATTACACAAAAAAGGGGGAAAAATTTTTTTTTTTTTTTTTGTGATCAATGTAGCCTGTCTCGAAACAGCTGGGTTATTTGGTCTTTTTTTATAGGGATTACTGCCGCACTAACTTTGAGCAAGACATGTCCCCCTTTCTTAGACCTGTTTCTTCATCTGTAGAACGAAAATGGATGGTGCTTGAATGATTTCAAGCGTGTTAAAACACTGTCTTCCACGGCGTGGCTTCTGGAATTCAAAAGAACCAACCTATAATCAGTGTCCTAAGATAGCAATAGACTTTGCCTCATTAAAAATCGTATTTCACTTTTGTCCGAAATGTGTATGTGAGCACAAAGTAGTGTTTCTGTCCCGAGACTTTAAAATGTAACAAATGATAGAGGATTTTTAAGACTTCACAGAGGCTTTTTAAATTATTTGCCCCCTGTGACGATCCATTGCCAACAACAAGCATTCTTTTCATTCATCAACAAAGAAGCTAAAACTGAAATGGTAAAGGGACAGAATTTCAACCTGACCATCATCCTTAAAATTTTTGCTATCCTCGAACAACGAGCAAATAAATACTAAGAATAAAACAAGTACGTAGATTAACAAGACCATCGTCGCCGCTAGGACGACTGTTCGTTTTATTCGCAAACCTGACCGCACAGCCCTAGGGAAGTAGTAATGATGAATCAATAGCTGACTTCTAGAAAGGCGGGGGAACGTTCAGAATAATCTCATTGTTTAAAGGTTAAAATTAAAAGGCGCCTCGGGCTCGTAGAAGCCGCGGCGGGTTCCAGCCCCGGGCGCGGGATCCGCCGGTCCCGGATCCTTAACCCCTGCACCAGGGCCACCCGGTGGCCGGGAGTCCCAACCGCCCGCCGATCCCGACCCCGGCCTCCCGAGCACAGGCCTCTCCAGGGCGGCCGTGGGCCTCGCCACGCTCCCGCTAGCGCCAGCAGCCGCCACCAAAGGATACGGTTGATGTAATTCTCCAGAGCGGATGTCATGATGCGAGGCCCGGCCACTCCTGGCAACACAGCAGCTCAGGCGACAAACGGAGATAAAAAGGGAGGGCAGGAACCCACAGAAACTCAGGCCGACTGGCTGCAGCAAGTATCGCGAGATTTACCGCACCGTAGTCTCCGCGAGTCCTATTGAAAGTAACCAACCAGCTGTACCCATGAGGCCAAGCGGTGACGAGTTTAGTGCGCGTGTGCAGGATGGTTTTGCTGATTTCCGGACGGTGGTCTCGGAAGCCGAGAGACCGAGCGGGAAGCAGAAGAAAGGATGGAACTTCCTGAAGGTGGCTTAGGAGGGAGAACACGGGAGAGCCAGTTTCCCAGCGGAGTGAAAGGCGATGGGGAGACGTTACTAAGGGAAAATGTTACGGAGAAACAGGGAACGCGGAATAACGTGTTTCCATCACAAGTGAAGTAGAGGCCAGGAAACGTAGGTGCGGGGAAGTGGGTAGGATCCCTAGTCTTGGACCGCAAGGGCCGGAAATTAATTTTTAGAAGCTGAATGGCCTAGAACAAAGTTGCGTGCGTTGTGACCATATGGTGTACGTCTCTGGAGCACACGCCAGTAAAAAGCACGTAGGCGTCTTCTGTATTTGCCTCCCCAAATGCTCCCACATGGAGGCGTTGTTATTCACTTAAAAAAAAACTGAATCCAAACAGGCAAAGGTGTGCGAGCCCGCCTTAGAAAACAGCTTTCCGTTTATTGTGCCACTAGGTGTCCCTGTCCTCAGGGTTAAATTAGTAAATAAAAGGTGTGCTGCACATCCCTGGAAAGGATTAAGCAAGAGTCTTCTAGATAAGCACAGGGCGGGGTTCTAGACCTGGCTCTGCTTATGAACTGTGTGGGCGTCCTTGTACAGGTAACATCAATGCATCTGGCCCTCAGTGATCGTACATGCTTAGATGCTGCTATAACTGTCATTTGGGGGTATTTACGAATGTTACTAGAAAACGTAACTCATATTTTACAGTAGTACCCTAACTTCAAAAGTTAAGAAAGGATTTATATACTAAATACCAGTGGGGACTTTTTCCTTTTTTACAAAAATCACTGATTTCAGTTGGGCTTGTGATTTCTTATCTGAAGAATTGTGGGTTCGAAATAACTCTTGCAATGTCAGCAGTTTTCTTCTAAAAAGTGAAACATCTGTTTTCATTACAGCATTCCCACAAAATACAGATCACTCCTAAATGGTTAATATTTTATATACTGAAATCTACTCTGACCTGTTTGAAACCGCACATAATCAGGAATTAGGTGATGAGTAACCCAGTATTTTCTGGGGGAAAAGTGAAAGTATCTTCCATAAATGAAAAGATGAAGATATTGTGTGATTTGCCAATGTTAGACTTGAACTGAAAAGAAAGCCAAAGTGTTAATTAGTGATAAATGAGGTATCATTAGTAAGGAGTTCAATTTTTAAAATGAATAATCTTTGTAGTTTTTCATCTCTTAGATGAATCCAATTAGAGTGTGCTTATGTTTGAAAATGTTTATTAGCATCATATAGTAATTTATGGAATAATTTCATAATGAATATATTACAAGTTGATGACCTTGTGTAGTTTTCATTAAATTATTATGCCAGATACATTGAAGATGTGAGTGTTTAGAAGTTTGGTCCTTAAAAGCGGAAGAGGGAGGCAGGAGAGGGGTTCTGAGAGATGTACATTAGTGGTTTTGCAGTTGATGGCTTTGAAGTTGGTGAAGGGACCATGAGCCAAGGAATGTGATTGTCTTTGTCTGGGAACAGCCTTTAGTTAACAGCCAGCAAGAAAACAGGGACCTTGGTCCCACAAAAGCAAAGAACTCAATGCTGTCAATCAGTCAGCCAAGTGAGCAGGAAGTGGTTCCCCCTTAGAGCCCCCAGAAAGGACACTTTCTGCCAGCACCTTGATTTCTCTAGGGCGACTCTTATCAGACTTGTGACCCATAGAACTGTACGGTAATAAAGTTTCATTGTTAAGCCACTAAGTTGGTAGCAATTTGTTATGATTGTTGATGATGGCAATAGAAAACTAATAAAGATATGCAACCTCTTAATTTATTAGCTTCCTGGACTTTGACTAAAAAAGACTTTGGGAAAAACAACGGTGCTGTATCTAGGAGATTTGTAGCATATTTGGTAATAGACAACTTAAGTACTATTGCTCGTGACCATCTTTCTCTGTGGCACAAAGTCCTTCTAGATTCTGAACCTGTCCCTAGAATTCCCTCCACTGTGGAACTGTGGGAAACATGGGTTTCTTCAACCCAAATTACTGTTTCCTTCATGCATGTTTCTTTCTCATTATATTTCCTTATCATAAGGTGCAGGTTCCACTGTCTGTCAGAGGAGTGGTACGTGTTTAACCTTTAATGAAATCTTAAGCCCTCTTTATCAAGAACTCACTGTGTACTCAGCCTTCATCCCTCGTGTGAATATGTTCCATGGGTCTTCTCTGGGTTTGGTGTTGCCCAGAGTCATCTGTTAGTAAATGACAGAGCCAGGCTGAACCTAGACAGTCAAGCTCCACTCATGACACTGCAATTTTAATGTTGTAGTCCAAATGAAATGTCCAATAGAGTGAAGAAATCAAGACCATGATGTAAACCAAAGGTCATTTAAGGTTATTCAGACCTGGGCACTTGTGATTCTTCCTTCAGATTCCTGCTTCTGGCAGTTTCAAAGAGGGAGATTCAACATTTATCTACCTTGGTGCATTTATTCCACTTTTCTTCAATGTTAGGCGCCTGTGTTGTTAATATGCAACCTCTTCTGTAGCAGGGCTGGCAAACTGTAGCCCTCAGTCCAGCTTTTTCTGTAAATACGTTTTATTGGAACAGCCACACCTATTTCTATGTCATTTATGGCTGCTGTTGGGTGACAATGGCAGAGGTGAGTAGTTGTCAGACCATATGGCCCACAAGCCCTTAAATAGTTACTCTCTGGCTCTTTACAGAAAATTTGCAGACTGCTGTTCTCTAATGTCAACAAATGAGATTTCTGAAGCTTTTATATTCATATTACCAGATTGTCCTCTACAAAGTTTGCACAACTCACTCTCCCACCTAGAAAAGGAGATAATTCATCATCTCAGCCCCAGGTATTACTATAGTGACCGACTTTGAGATAGGATTCGGTTCCATTTTTCTGACTAAACAGTTTGCATCATGAATGACACCAAAACAAAACAACTCTCATTAGACTTCAGAAAATGTGTTGTTTCTCCCTCTCTCCCTTCCTATTGAAATTTTAGCCTAGAATTACAGGAACATTTTCCAAGTCATGATCCCATGTGACAATAACTCATGCAATGGGATTTTTCATTCAGAAAAATAATGATATAAAATAGTGATCTGCGGGCCGGCCGAGTGGCGCTTTGGTTAATAACTGGCTGGGGACACCAGAGGGCCCCGGTTCGGATCCCACATATGAGGGCCAGTGACACTGCCCTCCACAGCTAAGATGCTGAACAACAGCTCAACCTGGAGCTGGGCTGCCGTGAGTCACCGGCGACGGCGTAGGCTGCAGTCCCTGTGGCAGTGGGTTGCAATGGGCTACCATATGTAGCCGGCAGCCAGCGTGAGCGGCCAGCAGCCGCAGTGAGCGGCCGTCCAGAAGCCGGCGACTGATCTGCCTCACCCAGGAAGAGCGCAATGATGGTGCCAACTTGGGCCAGTGAAGCAACATCCTCCACAACTAGACTGAAGAACAAAAAACGACAGTAACTTGTCTGTTCCCCTTCTTCCAATTCCCCAGCACTGTTCCCATCCCCCCAATTCCCCAATAAAAATCTTTAAAAAAAAAATAAATAAATAAAATAAAATAAAATAGTGATCTGCATTTTAACATGCATCAGAAACAAAAACCACAAATGTGTCATAATAATGCAGTGGATTAAAAGAAATTCTCAGCGGAGAGTTTTTTGGAAACAAAAAGCTGTAATTCAAATTAAAGACCACTGTTCATCAAGATTGTTAATCATTGTTTTCAACTGTTCAACATCAGAACTCTCTTTGGTCAATGGAATTGTAATAGATATGTATGATATTGGGGGTGGGAGTGGGGCGATGGGTTGGAGGAGGGGGGTTGTCACTTTGAGGGGTAAAAAGTATAACTGTTGTACTGTGTTATATACCTGAAACTAATTTAAAAAATAAAAATTTAAATAAAAACAATCTTTATTTTTTGAGAAGTCCGTACTTTATGAGCTTTGGTGGGAGATCGATGTCAGTGTGTCAGGTACTCTTCCCTGGTCTTCTTTGCAGCTAGAGAGGCCTAAGCTCTGCTTATGACGACCCAGACTGAATCGGGTCCTACAGACAACACACTGTTGGTCAGAACAGTCACAGCAAGGGCAAGTCCATAAAGGAGCCAGGCCTTTGATGCTTCTGGTGGGCCTGCCAGCAGTATCGGTGCCTGCAAGCTTCAGTCTGTATTGTTTGGCAGTAGTGTCCACAGGGACCCAGCTCTGCTGTGTGTCTGGGACACGCCACATGGCTGTGGAACTTCTGAATCTTGTTCTCCAGCCTGACTCCCAATTATGTGAGCTGCTTAGTATCCTTTAATAAATTCCTTTCCTGCTTCAGTCAGCTCAAGTTGGTTTCTGGTTTCAAGCTGGCAACTAAGAATTTTGACTTAGACATGTTCTGGTAGTATAGTGTTAGCAGTGAGCTACAGGGATCTTAAAACATTGTTTTGCTCATTTAGCTTCTACGTTTTTATAACAAGTTTTAACAAGACTCTTTACACAAGCTTACTTTAAAATTCTAAAATTTTGTATCATACGTTCATTAGAATGAATGTAATTTCTGTCACATAGTATTTTCTGTGTGCCTTAAATATATTTTCATTAAAACCGTGGAGCTGCAATTTTAACACGTTTACTGCAAACCCTATACCCATTAGCAAACTCATCAGCTGACTTTTATTTTTTAATTTAAGTAAATGTGTTGCCATGTATTCTGTGAGAACTGTTGGAAAGTCTGTCCCCCAGGAGCCCTGAACTTCCCTGGACATCCTTTCTGGGTATGCTTCAAAGGCGAAGTCTGGTCACTCTTTACTTGGGCCAGTTGTGTGTCCCTTCTAGCTTTTCTAATTTCTAAGAAAATAGGTGTATAATACCACACATTT